CCCAAAAGTATTTTCTACCTAGTTATTACACACCAAAGCTCTCTCATAATGTGAAGTAATTTCTCATACTCCCCAAAGTCAAAAACATCAGATAATGCAATACAAAACATAACAGAGCCTTAGATTTTGAGAAGAATCGATATGCTTTTAATTCCTGAGGTTTCTTGAGGAAAACAGAGGTTTTTCCCAAAACAGGGTCTGTGGTGCCTCCTCCGCTTTTCCCAAGGAGTCCCAGGCTGTTAGAGCTTGAATATCCGCTTTAAATTAAGATGACTTTTAACTATAGCACTCTTTATAAATGTCCTTTTAAATTTCTTATTACCTGACGTTAGCCAGGACAAACAGCCAATACTTCTGGCTCAGAGAAGAAAATATTCTTGGAGGGGAAGAGAATCAACAAATGGTAAAGTTCATACAGTTATCAAACCTGAAAGAACTCATTCCCTAAGCAGGAATTGAACTAGGGTCATCATTGTAAAAAGGCAAGGCCTTAGCTGCTGAGCTACAGTATTGGACAGCTTCTACTGCTCTTCCCAGAAGTCTAGAGCAGACAGTTTTGAGTTTGCAAAGGCTTTTTACTGCTTGAGATAATTTTTGGAGCTAGCTATGGCATGAAACCCAAAATTTCTTTTCACCATAAGGCAGAGACTAAGAGAAAGTACCACCATGTGGTTACAAGATTAAGCTCCCAAGGACAAAACAAGATGGAGACCTCAGCCAGTGTTTTTGTTTGTTTTAGAGAACTGCAGCAAAGTTTTTATTTTTCATTTATTGACCAGCTTGCTAGGCCATCTTGAATAGCAAACTTATGGGTCCTAAGCCTGTGTTCTATCCTAAGGTACTCTTTATGACAGAACCATACAGAAAGACAGATAAAGCACACCGAATTCCCTACAGCTTAAAAATAGCCCCAGAATCCTTTTTTGCATTAATTAAAACTTTATAGAGGAGATAAAGTGATTTTTACCATTAATTTAACCAGATTGCACAGAGAGAGAATGGCCATAAGTCTGATAAGAAAGTTCTTGCCCTTTTGCTGGCCTGTCAGGTTTCTGGGTTCCCCTTCCCTGAGCAGCCCTAGTGATGCTGCTTACCACACCATAGTTCCAGGGGCCAAGCTGCATCACAAAGGAAAATAATGGAAGCACAGGCAGAATTACCTCAATTTTTCAAGTTGCTGCCCAACCGGCTGCATGGGAGACCCAAATGCTAATATTTTCCTTTCTGGCCAGAGCAAAATATGTGTGCTTTAAATAAAAATATTGAAATCTTTTTAGAAGCTTCTGCATATCAGTAGGCATCCCTAGATGCAACTAATTTGGGAGCCTCATTATTTTAAATGCACTTCAGTGTGTTGTTCATTTGGAATGTTCTACTGTAAGGTATCTTTAGTAAGATCTCACCATTTTTGTAAGACTTTACTGTTTCTGGGGCCTAATACTGAGGCATGTATAAGCCAGAAGGAACTCAGTTCTTCAGAAATTAAGGATCCCATTTTTTACCAAAAATATTGACTTTACTCTTGGGTTTCCTCAATTAACTTAGTCAATGATTTGTTTTCCTACCTAAGCACACAAGAAAAATAAAGGGATAGAATACAACAATCCCTGCCAATTTTTTTTTTCTTTGAGACAGAGTCTTGCTCTATTGCCAGGCTGAGTGCAGTGGTGTGATCTTGGCTCACTGCAACCTCCTCCCTGCCCCCCCACCGCGTTCAAGCGATTCTCCTGCCTCAGCCTCCCATGTGCATCACCATGCCCACCTAATTTTTTTGGTATTTTCAGTGGAGACAGGGTTTCACCAAGTTGGCCAGGATGGTCTTGATCTCTTGACCTCATGATCCACCCACCTCAGCTTCTCAAAGTTCTGGGATTACAGGCATGAGCCACCGTGGTGGGCCCATCCCTGCCAAATTTTTAAAAGCCAGTTATAGCCTCTGCAATATTACCATTTACTACCAATTTCTTTCTGACCCAATCAGATGTAAGAAGCCTCTAACTGGATTCAAGCCAGTTAATTACTGGATCAAATCTGATCCTGGACCCAGTCCAGTTTGTGTCATGACTTCCAGACCCAGTTTGGATCAGAAATTTGCTTGAAGAAACTTGTAGAGCCCAAAACAAATCAGTGGAACTCTGAAATCCACAGCTGGGAATCAAGTTCTCTCTTTCCCATGAGAGAGAACTTTGAGACATCATTGGACACAAGTGGGTCCTGCAGGTACCTTGCTTATTAACTCAGCACTCCTGGGGGTCATTAAAGCTTGCTTTGCATCCCACTTCTGACAACATCTGTTAAAAGAAAAATTTCAACCAAATTAAATTTAAAGGAGTTTAATGGAGCAAAGAATCAGGCATCCCCTAGAATCACAGCAGGTTCAGAGAGACTCCAGTGCAGCCACATGGTGAAAGAAGATTTATAGACAAAAAAAGGGAAATGAGGGACAGAAATTTGAAGTGAGATACAGAAACAACTGGATTGGTTACAATTTGGCATTTTACTTATTTGCACACAGTTTGAGCATTTGGCAGTATATGAGTCGTTGAAGTATGGCTGCTGGGATTGGCCAAGGCGCAGCCGTTGTTATAGGTGCATACTTCTAAGTTAGGTTTTCAGTCTTGTCTACCTATTAAGTTAGGTTGCAATCTGTCCACAAGGACTCAAATATTAAAGTATGGAATCTTTCTCAGGCCATTTTAGTTTGCCTTAACAATTATGGATGTCAAAATACAGAAAAAAATTAAATGTAGAACCAGATATGAAGGTCATCTGTTAAACAAAGCAGGAGGCATTTAGTTTTTGGATAATAATGTCATCTTTCAAATGCGATTAATGTTTTTAGAGTATTATTAGTTCGCTAGTTTTGTTAGAATTTAATTTATAATTTTCTCTTATTCTATAGTTTCATAAGATGTATAAGCCTAAGTAGTTGTTTGCAGGTGTGTATTTAAGTACTGTTATATAAATAATTCAACACTTGGACATAGTGAGAATTAATTTTTTCTCTAGAAAAGAGTTCTGTACATTTCTTAAGTTTTAGAAACAGTGAATTAGAATTTGTGGTTGGATTTTGAAATGTTTGAAATCCATTCTGTTTCCCAACTTCTCTTTTTCCGTATTATTACAAATACGGTGTTTATAATATATTGATTATGTTAATAGTCATAGCACTTGTATTGAGGTTCAAAATTATCTCTAGGAGAAGTGTTGATTAAATTTATGATTTTAAGTTGAAATTAGTACTTCTTTATGATTGATACTGACATTTTATAGCTGTTGAATAATTATTTAGTTTCATAGAGTGAAATTAGCCCTAAACAGAAAACATGGCTTAAACACTCATGTTTATATTGACATTTGGAGGTCAGTTCAATTTTGTTTAACAAAAGAATATATGATTGATATTTACTTAATGTAAATTAATGATCTTAAGTTTTAAAAAAGAGAAAATATATTTTCCGTTTTAAGAGGAATGACTTTCACTATTCTGTGAAGATGAATCAGTAACAGCTGAAGATCTGATCTTTGAACGTGGCAGGTTTGGAACACTTTCAAAGTAGAAATCTAGCCAATTTTCAAGAAAAATCATAATGTTTCAGTTTTGAACTTTAATGTAGTTGGAACATATGTAGCAGAACATTTTCTTCTTGCTATCTCCTGCCAAACTAATTATGTATGCCACATTAATTTTTCTCTTATGCTTGGGAAACTTAAGATATGGTAGAATGGAGAATTTTCTGATTATTATTCACCAGTTTTAATGGCAGAGTGAAGATGAAAAGTATCAAAGAGAAATTTTATTTTCTCCTAGAGAAATTATATGCAAAATTAAAATATTTCATTCACTTAAAATTATTTGCTGAGTACCTGCTATATGCCAGGCTCTGGTATGTAGTGTGAGTGATACAGTGAACAGGACAGTTATAGTCCCTGCCCTCAGAGCGCTTATATTCTAATGGGGGTGGTGGTGATAGGAGATGATGGGGATTTCAGATTCACAGATGTTCTGTAGAAAGTAAAATGCATAGTAAGATAGATTACCATAGCTGAGGCTGGAATTATATGAAGATCTGGAAGGAGTGAAGTCTAAATTTGGTCAGCAGCCACTTAAGTGGGAAAGGCTTGGCATATTCTAGGAACAGAAAGGCCAGTGTGGAGGGAGCATAGAGAATGTGGGTGGTAGAGGCTAAAGTTGGAGAGAGAGAGACCAGATTAAATGAGCCTTTTAGATGATGTAAGGAATTTTAATTTCACTCTAAATATAATGGGGATGCATGTTACTGCAGGTGAACAACAACAAAAAGATCTAATGGGGAGTCCTTGGAAACTTTTAAATGGGAACATTTTATTATTTGGCTTATTTAAGGAAGATCACTCTGGGGGCTTTTAGAAGAATGAACTGAAAGAGGGTGAGAGTAGAAGCAGGAGGCCAGGTAGGGAGCTATTCCAGCATCTAGCCAGAAGATGACTGCTGTTGGTGTTAGGGATATGGAATAGATTTGTGGATCTTGTGAGGAGAGATTGGATTGGAGGTGTGCTCTTGTGCTACACTGATTGTTCTTGCTAACCAGTTCCATGTTTTTATACTCAAGCATTTGAGATTCTGAAAGTTAAATCTTTGGGGCATCATAGTTTAATGTGGACTCTGTGTCTTGAGAATGTGAAATTTTACTAAAAAATATTTTCAGTGCCTGAGGAAAACAGTTCCTTTAGCTTCCCTTTGCTATATGGTATAAAGTATACATTATTTGGAAAAACATTAGTTTCTTGAAATTCTGTTGATAAGTTTATGCCAGATTGCTCTAATTTCTCTACTTTAAAATACATACTACTTAAGGGTATGAAGAAAATAATTAAAGCACCTTCAAATATGTAGTTGAAAATTAATTTTTTTTAAGGAGGAGTAAAATGAATACAATTGCTATATGATATAAATAAATTTGTGTTTAACTTTTTCCTTTTATCTAAATTATATATTTACTGGAGTTTTTTTTTTCTAGTCACATTGTCCTAATGCTTGCAGATGATATGGCCTGTAATCCTAGAAATCCCAAACCAGCTACAGTGTTTAGTCACAAGAATATGGAACTAAATGTGTATGGAGATGATGTGGAAGTGGATTATAGAAGTTATGAGGTAAATTGTTTAATCTAGCCATATTTTTGAAATGGCATTGTTACTTTTAAGCTCTAAAACAATGGCAGAATAAAATTGTCTTATTATTTTTCTTTAAACTTAATTGTCACTTAAGCCTTGATGTAACTGTCTCTGGAGTTCATATTAAGGCAATGATACATAGAAAAAATATTAAAACATGAACATTTTACATTTGTATCTAGGACAGAAAAACTATATTGGCTTCAATGTTAGAGTATTATAGTGAGGTTTCATGTGTCAATTTTTTTAACAATAAATATATTTCTTTTTTTTTTTTTTTTTTTTTGAGACCGAGTTTTGCTCTTGTTACCCAGACTGGAGTGCAATGGCGCGATCTCGGCTCACCGCAACCTCCGCCTCCTGGGTTCAGGCAATTCTCCTGCCTCAGCCTCCCCAGTAGCTGGGATTACAATAAATATATTTCATAGGAAACATATTTTTAATATTTGACCTAAAATTTTAAGTTTATTAGTTTTAGTAATTGTATTGTGGAAAAACTATAGTGACTAACAACTCACCCATATTTTCACTACTTAGAAATAACCACTTTCAGTATGCTTCCAGTGTTTTTTATGAATATGTGATTAGAAATAAAAATGTAAATGTGAAAAACTGGTATTACACTGTATTTTGTCCCTTTGAAACTTTACTTTTAATTTAATAGATTATGAATATGCTTAATATTTGAAGTCCTCTTTTGTGAAGTCTTTTTAGATAATCCTTCCCCTTTTACCAAGCCTACCAAGAGTAAGACAATTTCCTGTGTGTTCCCAGACTGCTTTTGAAGCAATTTTAAAAGCCTATCTATCTCCTCCTAGACTGTAAGCCAGGAGGGCTTATATCTTAGGTATTATATAGCTGGCAGGTACCTGTAGCCTGTGTTAGGGGCTCAAAAATGTTGGCTCATTGAATTAAATATGTGTGTTTCACTTTTCACTTGTTTATTTAGTCATCTTAAAACATAGCCCCCTAATTTTCCTTCCTTGTTGGCCAACAAGAAGTCCTATTGAAACAATTAGCATTTTGCTGTCTTGCAGGAAAAATGTAAATCAGTTTACACACACACAAATGTATATACATATAAATCATACATTCATGTTGTAGGGAATAGTTGAACAAGAAAACTGGATAGATTTTCTACTTTTTAGATGTAGATATGCATAATATATGACTCAGCTGTTGGCTTTAAATCAGTATTTTACTCTCTACAACTTTAAATATGCCTTCAAAGAATCCTAGAGGGATAGAAATTCTAGATTGGGAAATCTAGTTTAAAGTGTTACGAAGTTTTTACACATTGAAGATAACACTAATAAAATCTAAGAAACAAAGTACATTCAAAATTAAATATATGTAATAATGGGGAAATAAATATGGAACTTTTTTTTTCAAACTTTATTTTAAATGCAGGGGATACGTGTATAAGTTTATTACAAAGGTATATTCTGTGATGCTGAGGTTTGGGGTATGATTAGGCCTGTGATCCAAGTAGTGAACGTGGAACTATTTTATTTCATGGTTAATCTATAGTTGATTAAGTAGTTGTACAGATTAGCTCCAATAATGTAGCTGAAATTATTTAAAAATTATTGTATTTCATATCTTCCCACAGAATTACCTGTGCAGAGAGATTAATAATTTTTATTTTTTAGAGCTGGAGTTTTGCTCGGTCACCAAAGCAGGAGTATAGTGGCCCTATCATAGCTCACTGCAGCCTTGAACTCCTGGGCTCAAGTGATTCTCCTGCCTCAGCCTCCTGAATAGCAGGGACAACAGGTGTGCACCACCATGCCTGGCTAATTTATTTTATTTTTCCAGGGAGAGGGTGTTACTAGTTGTTCAGGCTGTTTTTGTTTTTGTTTTTTTTTTTTTTTGAGATGGAGTTTTGCTCTTGTTACCTAGGTTGGAGTGCAATGGCACGATCTCGGCTCACCACAACCTCCGCCTCCTGGGTTCAGGCAATTCTCCTGCCTCAGCCTCCCGAGAAGCTGGCATTACAGGCATGCACCACCATGCCCAGCTAATTTTTTGTATTTTTAGTAGAGACGGGGTTTCACCATGTTGACCAGGATGGTCTCGATCTCTTAACCTCGTGATCTACCCACCTCAGCCTCCCAAAGTACTGGGATTACAGGCTTGAGCCACCGCGCCCAGCCCGTTCAGGCTGTTTTTGAACACTTGGCCTCAAGTGATCCTCCTGCCTCAGCCTCCTGAGTAGTTGGAATTACATGTGTGAGCCATCATGCCAGCCAGATTAATAATTTTGCACCTTTTTAGTAGTTTTTAAAGGCAGCACTTCACATAGCATTTAAGGTTTTAAATTTAGAACTTATTTTTCTCCAAGGTAGTTTTACTTTGCTTTTTTTTTTCTTAAGAGGCATAGTCTTGCTTTCTTGCCCAGGCTGGAGTGCAGTGGTGAACTTCTGGGCTCAAATGATCCTTCTGCCTCAGTCTCCTGAGTATCTAGCACTACAGGAGTGTGCTACCATGCCTAGCTACTTTAAACATTTTTTGTGTTTGCATAGAAATGGGGTCTTGCTGTTTTGCCTAGGCTGATCTTGAACTCCTGTCCACAAGCAATCCTCTTGCCTTGGCCTCACAAATTGCTGAGTGTATAGGCATGAGCCATCATGCTCTGCCTTCTTTTTTAGTTTTTAGTACTTTTAAATATAGTAACAAAGTTACTTGAGGTATATGTTTAAAAAAATATATTTTAATTGAGTTATATAAGTTTTGGGCGTTTTATTTTCAGTTGATGCTGAGTAATATATGGAAAAAGAAGAAGGAACATTTTTGAAAGTAAAAAATAATTTGTTAAGATTTCCCAGGTTTTATTTCATCTGATTTTTCTTTTTTTTTCCTCCAGGTAACTGTGGAGAATTTTTTAAGGGTATTAACTGGGAGGATTCCACCTAGTACTCCGCGGTCAAAACGTCTGCTTTCTGATGATAGAAGCAACATTCTAATTTATATGACAGGTAATCTCATAATTTAGAGATTTTATATTAGAATATATTGAAACTCTTGGAAAAGAAATCCACAGGGAAAGAAATTTAAACACATGAAATGATTTTTGGTTAAAATGGTTTCTCATGTAGTTATGTTTTCCATGATTTAGAACTATTTGAAAACAATATAACATTTTGTGCTGTTCCCTATCTCTATATTTTTTTTACTATTGACTTGGTAAACTTCAGCACCTTGTACTTGGTATCCTGCTATATAGCACCCTTCAGTTTTGTTCTCCTGTTAATCATTCTGTGAAAGTGTCTAATAGGAATTGCAAATCTTTCCCCCTTCCTCTTAAAACTTTATAATGGTTTTCCACCTCAAATTTTGCTGTACATAAAGATTACCCAACTGTAGATACTTAGGCCTTATTTTAGAATTCTTAATCAGTTTTCGTCTGGGCTGGGATTCATGTAATTGCATTGTAGATATACTCCTCAGATATGAGATATAGTAGTCTTTTGATTATATTTTGAGGAATATTAGAGATAATGTGAACCATAATACAATATACTTATCATATATATAACACATAATAATTGAATGATTTAGCTATAGTATTTAATTTCAGTCTTAGTTCTTAATACTTTTGAAAATTCTCTTCCAAGCTCGACTCTTCTCTCCTTCAAACATTTGTTTAGTCTCTTGCATTTGCTTATGACACCTTTTCAATCCACTTTGCCTACTTGATTATTCCAAATCTTTTTAGTTTTAACTCAGGATTTACTTCCTTCGATGACATCCTTTCTAAGTCTAGGATGACTGAGGTTTCCAATTACTTGGGACAGTTGTAGTTTACAACTGTTGTCTCTTCTAATTATTAATAGTTTCTGCTTTCTCCTTCAGAATAGGTATGAATAACACAGCTTATATTTTTCCTGTCCAACGATATTTCTCTTCTTGGCTGGTCTGGACTTTCCTCTGTGCACTCCCATGTTAATTTTTAGTTTCTTTCATAGCATTTAACTTATTATTACTTTATTGTTTGGGTATCTGTTGCCTTCACTGTATTTTGAATTCCAGGATGTCATTGATTATATATTTCTTGCCTTTTTAAATCACCAGTTGCTTGTCTTATAATAGTATTCAGTAAATATGAATGTTAATCAAAATATCTTCTATAAATTGTTTGGAGGGCATTCCATTCAACTGATGATAAAACAGGTGCAGAATGATTCTTAGGTATCACATGGCAAGATAGTTAATGATGCCTATTTAGTGGCTTTTCTCTATCATGTTGCATTTATAACTTTCAAGACTCAATTTATAAACTTTATAAATTAACTCAATAGAGTTAATGAAGTTAGAAAAAAATTTATTTTACTTTTTCTGAAAATTACAAGGAATTTTCAAGCCTTTGTGGCAAACAAGGTGAAGCGCAGTTTTGTATCTTACTTTTATTTGATGTACTAAACTAAAGGATTTATTATTATTATTTTTTTGTTTGCTTCCCGATTCTGTTGGTACTCTTTCAGGGTAACTGCAGGCTTGGAACAAATTCCAGTAGTTAAGATAGGATTTGATAAACTAGGGACTGTGAACTTCCTGTTTTGGAAGTTTCATTGGAACACAGTTGCATCCATTTGGTTTACAGTTTCTATGAGTGCTTCCATACTACAACAGCAGAATTCAGTAGTTGTAATAGAAACCATGTGGCTCTCAAGCCTAAAATATTTGCTACCTGATCTTTTACGGAAGAAGGTTGCCAGTGTCTGTAAAAGAATAAAAGGGTTGATAATTATGATTATATGATAATATTTATGGATGCATAGTATACATCAGGCAATATTCTAAATCATTGTTTGTATTAACTCATTTCATCCTCACAGCAGCCCATTGACTTAGGTGCTGATATTCTGGGTTGCCGTATGTGGTTGTGTGGGTTGTAGTGCACCCAAGCATCTGGCCAGGAGATTAAGTGGGAACTGAAATCTAGTATGTGCTTACACTCACTAAGCAATATTTGCTCTGCCCCAGGGTTGTATTCTAATGGGAGGGAGGAGTACTTTTTTATTCCACAAAGGCATAGTCAACTAACTACCTGTAAGCTCTCAGGGCTGTATATATCTCGGGGGAGTGTGGGGAGACTAATTTTTTTTTTTCCCCTACTTTCATGCCCAATGGAAGGTACCTTTTAAAAATCTCCACAAAGGAGCTGTATAAGTAAGATAATGATAGTGTTGTGGATACATTTCTCACTTTCTGGCTGAGGAAACAGGCCTAGAAAGATTAAATTATTTTCCTAAACTAACATGGCATAGCTACCATTTGAATCCAGACAGCCTGCCTCTAGATTGCATACAAATAGCACATTCTTCTAGTCCACTTTTTGTAGTAAAAATGTCAGTTTTTAGTAAGGACTGCACTTAGTAGTATTAATATCATTCTGAGTATACATTGTAAATAGTACTAGTATACCGTGGGACTAGCTAGTGTCTTTAGCTTCTTTCTCACCAAAACTATTTCCCTGGATTTTGCAACATTTTTATGAAAGGAAGTTTATTTCTGATAAAGATGGAGCCAGTGGAAGAGCATAAATACAGGTTTCTGGAATTGAATGTTAGAAACACTCTAAAAGATATTATATCTGCTATTTTTTATATAGTCTATCATTCTCTTTTTAATTGGCATAGTAGAAAATTTGTTTTCATAGTATATATTTTAGAGTATAGAATAACAAGTGATGTTAACATGTTGCAATGAATGAAGTATATGTATATATCTAGATGTATGCAGTTTGCATTAAAAAAATAGATCTATTGATCTTTTTTACTCTTATACAAGGACATGGTGGAAATGGTTTCTTAAAATTTCAAGATTCTGAAGAAATTACCAACATAGAACTTGCAGATGCTTTTGAACAAATGTGGCAGAAAAGACGGTAATTAGCAAATGACTTCTTTTCATAAGCTATATTCATACCTAATTTTCACATGGTTAGTAGGTTTCTAGTTTTTATTTTATAAGATTTTTTACTTATTCTGACAATGTCTTTGACCCTTTTAAATTTACATTTGTTATTTCCACTGAACTGGGTTGTTTTTCAAAGAAAAACTCAGTTATTCTATAACATGAACTAGTTAACCTTTTAAGATTCCCATCTCGGACAAATGTATACCTTTAACTTTTCTAAGGTCAAATTTCTGTTGGGAATTCTGCTGAAAACTTTTAGCTAATGAAGTGACTAAGATATGACTTAAACGTCTTATGAAAGTGTTGTAGAAATATTAGTCAGTGTATGATTTACAGCATGATTCTTGTCAAAGATGTTATCACTTTTCTTTCAGCTACAATGAGCTACTGTTTATTATTGATACTTGCCAAGGAGCATCCATGTATGAACGATTTTATTCTCCTAACATAATGGCTCTAGCTAGTAGCCAAGTGGGAGAAGATTCACTCTCGGTATGTGCATTTTCCCCATTTGTAAACTGTGTCTTTGGAATGTGCAGCTATTTCTGAAACCAATTAAATGCTTTAAATGCTTTATGAATCTATCTGTTCTTTCTTAGACTAACACAATAGAAGGAAATTTTGGTTACATTTAAAACATTTTATTATAATGATATTGTTAGACAAATACTTTTTTTCCTGTTTACATAGCATCAACCTGATCCTGCAATTGGAGTCCATCTTATGGATAGATACACATTTTATGTCTTGGAATTTTTGGAAGAAATTAACCCAGCTAGCCAAACTAACATGAATGACCTTGTAAGTATTCACTTGATTTGATTATAGCACATAGGTATGCTAACCTTAATGTGAAAAGAAGTGTATTATTCCCTGTACTACTAGAGGGTACTGTTTTATGTGTTGAATTATAGCTTTTAATACTATTTGCTGTCTACCTTCTACCTTTATATTAGTCTCTCTCTCTCTCTCTCTCTCTTTCTCTCTCGCTCTCTCCAAGAGGCCTGAAGTATGTTACTGTTTTCCTTCATTTGCTCATTTTCTTTTCCTTACCAGAAATGTACTTTTTTTTTGGTTCACCTTTTGAAATTTTATGTATTCTTCAGGGGCCACCTCAGATTGTATCTCCTTCAGGAAGTCTCCCTGAATTCTTCCATGTGGGAAATTCCTGTTTTTTTTTTCAGAGCCTCCATAGATCTTTATTTCTCATTTGAAACATTTACCACAGACTGTCTTTTATTTATCTTACTAATTGAATGTAAGTAAGTCTTTCTCACTGAATGGGAAGCTCCTGAAAAAGAGACACCTTTTCTTACATATTTTTGTGGGCCCTACAATTTATAGTAAAGTCTTTTCACATGACTTGTTGAATTTAGTTTAGATTTTTTCATGAGTTTTTTTGTGCTGATTCTTCTTTTTGTGTGTGTGCTGATTCTTTTCAATTAAATGCACTTTGAGGTTGCTGTTGAAAGATAGGCATAACAAAAAGCTTGAAACAACAATTTTAGACTGGATAATTTATTATGTGTCAATGACTTTCATTCTTTTCATTAATTTATAGTCTGTTTATTCTTTCACCAACATTTCTTGAGTGTTTCCTAACTGCCAAGCACTGGCTGTTCCTAATGAAAGAGGCAGATGCCATTCCTGCCTTCATGGGACTTAGAGTGAAGGGGAGACTGAGTAGATAGGGCTGTGCCCTCTAGCACTTCAGTCAAAAGCTTTGTATTGATCTTTTTAATTATATATAAATCTTTTAGGTAAGTTGTCATTTATTAAAGGGGTTTTACTGTAAGATTCTGAAGCCTACTGCAATAGGTTGTGAACTTTGATAAAACTACTGTATTAGTCTATCTTTATACTGCTGTGAAGAAATACCTGGGACTGGGTAATTTATAAAGAAAAAGGGTTAATGGACTCACAGTTCCACATGGCTGGGGAGGCCTCATAATCATGGCAGAAGGTGAAGGAGGAGCAAAGGCATGTCTTACATGGAGGCAGGCAAGAGAACATATGCAGGGGAACTGCCCTTTATAAAACCATCAGATCTTGTGAGAACTCACTCACTATCATGGGAATAGCATGAGGGTAACTGCCCCCATGATTAAATTACATCCCACTGGGTCCCTCCCATGACATGTGGAAATTATGGGTCCTACAATTCAAGATGAGATTTGAGTGAGGACACAGCCAAATTATATCATTCTTTCTCTGGCCCCTCCCAAATCTCATGTTCTCACATTTCAAAGCCAATCATGCCATCCCAACAGTCCCCCAAAGTCTTAACTCATTTCAGCATTAACTCAAAAGTCTCTTCTGAGACAGGTCCCTTCTGCCTATGAGCCTGCAAAATCAAAAGCAAGTTAGTTACTTCCTAGATACAATGGGGGTACAGGCATTGGGTAAATACACCTGTTTCACTTTGGAGAAATTGGCCAAAATGAAGGTGCTACAGGCCCCGTGCAAGTCAGAAATCCAATAGGGCAGTCATTAAACCTTAAAGTTTGAAAATGATCACCTTTGACTCCATGTCTCATATCTAGGTCACATTGATGCAAGAGGTGTGCCCATTGCGTTGGGCAGCTCTGCCCCCTGTCTTTGCAGGGTAAAGCCCCCCTCCTGGCTGCTTTCACGGGATAGCATGGAGAGTGTGTGGCTTTTCCAGGTGCACAGTGCAAGCTGTCGGTGGAGCTACCATTCTGGGGTCTGGAGGATGGTGGCCCTCTTCTTACAGCTCCACTAGGCAGTGCTCCAGTGGGGACTCTGTGTAGGGCCTCCAACCCCACATTTTCCTTTTGCATTGCCCCAGCAGAGGCTCTCCACGAGGGCCCTGCCCCTGCAGCAAACACCTGCCTGGACATCCAGGCATTTCCATACATCCCCTGAAAGCTAGATGTGGGTTCCCAAACTTCAATTCTTGATTTCTGTGCACCTGCAGGCTTAACACCACATTTAAGCTCCCAGGGCTTGGGGCTTGCACCCCCTGAAGCTATGGGCCAAGATGTACCTTGGCCCATTTTAGCCACACCTGGAGTGGCTGGGACACAGGACACCAACTCCCTAGACTGCACAGTGCAGGGATTCCTGGGCCCAGCCCACAAACTGATTTTTTTCTTCTAGGCTTCAGGGCCTATGATGGGAGGGGCTGCTGTGAAGATCTCTGACATACCCTGGAGACATTTTCCCCATTGTCTTGGCAATTAATATTGGGCTCCTTGTATTTGTCTTCTCATTATTTATGCAAATATTTGTAGCAGGCTTGAATTTCTCCTCAGAAAATGGATTTTTATTTTTTATTGCATTGTCAGGATGCAAATTTTCTGAACTTTAATGCTCTGGTTCCCTTTTAAATATAAGGTCCAATTTCAAACTGTATCTTTGTGAATACATAAACTTGAATGCTTTTAACAGCACGCAAGTCTCCTCTTCAATGCTTTGTTGCTCAGAAATTTCTTCCATCAGATATCCTATATTATCTCTCTCAGTTTCAAAGTTCCACAGATCTCTAGGGTAGGGGCAAAATGCTTCCAGTCTCTTTGCTAAAAGGATAACAAGAATCACCTTGACTCCAATTCCCAATAGTTCCTCATCTCCATCTGAGACCACCTCAACTTGGACTTTTTGGTTAAAACAATTCAACAAGTCTCTAGGAAGCTTCAAACTTTTTCACATCTTCGTCTTTTCTTCTGAGCCCTCCATTCTGTTCCAGCCTCTGCCTGTTACCTAGTACCAAAGCCACTTTGCATTTTTAGGTGTCTCTCTCTCTCTCTCTCTCTCTCTCTCTCTCTCTCTCTCTCTCTCTCTCTCTCTGGCAGAGGTTGCAGTGAGCTGAGATTGCACCACTGCACTCCAACCTGGGTGACAAAGTGAAACTCTGTCTCAAAACAAACAGAGAAATAAAACAGAAAAGAAGTTTAATGGACTCATAGTTCCACATGGCTGGGGAAGCCTTACAACCATTGTGGAAGGCATAGGAGGCACTAGGGCACATCTTACATGCTGGCAGGCAAGAGAGCATGTACAGGGGAATTGTTCATTATACAACCATCAGATCTTGTGAGACTTATTCACTGTCACGAGAACACCACAGGAAAGATTTACCCCCATGATTAAGATTTACCCCCTACTGAGTCCCTCCCATACATGTGGGAATTATGGGAGCTGTAATTCAAGATGAGAATTGGGTGGAGACACAGCCAAACCATATCAACTACTTTCTAACTTCCTTTAGAAGATTATATATTTTGATGCTTATTAAATCTTCATATGAATTTGAATGTTAAAACCTGTGATAATGCAACATTAACTGTAAAAAAAATTAGTGTCACATAGTTCCAATTACTTTAATTTAAAAGTTTACTGTTATTTTTTGATTATACATTGTATATTTTATGTAAGGCACGATGTGCTGTCTCAAAAGTTTGAATACATGTACCTTGCACATTGAATGTCTAATGGATATTTAAAAAATACTTCTATTGAAATTATAGAGGAAAGATTGAGGAAACTAATTTTTGTATTGCTCATAACTGCTATTTAGTTTTTAATAAACATTCCCCACTTATCCCATCTTTACCCTAACACCTTTATTTTAAAAATTTAATGACGACTATTGTAATCTTAATAGGAATGATTCATTTTCTGGCAGTTTGCTAGGGCAGTGACTTAACCTATCTCTAGCTCAATTGTGTAATAATATCTGTTTTCTGTTAGAGTATATGTATATAGTAAAATTTGTTGAGTATCAGCTGTATTCACAGTACTATCTATGTTAGTTGCTTTAGGAATAGCAAAATTAGAAGACCTGGTGCTTAGCCCCTTAAAAGTTTCTAGTGTCATTGGTAACTATTGAAGAGCATATTTATAAAGTATTATTTGTTATGTGAAATGTCGGGACCCTCCAGGTAATTTTTTTTCCCTTGTGAACATATAACCTATACCTTTATTATACTTTCAGTATTGCACTGTAATTGTTTATATTTATGATGTTTCCTCAAGGCTTTGAGTTTCTTGAATAAGAGGTGTAGGGACCATGTTATATTCATCTTATACTCCACAGAGTTAATTATAGTACATGGTTTATTTGTAGATGCTCATTGAATATCTGCTAAATGAATGAAAGGACATGATAACAAATGCACATTTTTATGACTCCTTTCAAATATAGTGAGATAGTGATAATTTTTTCTTGGAGAAGGTAAGTACAGGTTTTTAAGGAAAAGAAGTTGTATAGCATACTCTATGGAAATAGAATACCCACAGGCACACGGAAGAAGTTGGAATAGTAGATGATCCTTATCTTTGATAATAGCTTGAAGGAAGGATGGTTTGAAGGAAGAGAAGGATAGAAAACTCTAGGGAAGTATAACAGTGCAGACACACAGAAGTTGGAATAATAGATGATTCTTATCTTGATAATGGCCTGGCTAGAGTGTGGACATTCTGTAATTGAAGAAGATTATTGAAAATGTAAACTGAGTACTATGGGACCTGTGGGTCATTGTGTTACTTGAGCTAAGGAACTCAGACTGATATGATAAAGGGGTGACTTCATAATAGGGGGTAGTATGTTTATTTTGGCAGCAAAGAATAAGATAATTTTATTCGGTGTTTCCCAGGCCCATTTGTCTATACTGTATGTTTTCTTCTGCTGGTACCTAAGAAAGCCCATCAAGTTGCTCATACAGGAATACCCAAGAAGTCTTCAGTGTTCTTGAGACTTCAATATTAACTCTGCTTATTTTATTTTATCTGTCATTTTTTTCTCCAATCTTCCATCTATTATTCCTGTTTGGTATTTTATTTTTTTTCCATTTAATTTGTATCCTGAGTTCTTCTTTGTGTCTTCTTTGTGTGTCATTTGAATAGGGATGACAAGGATTGCTGGCAGTGTGGTATTAGGTAAATTACTTAATCGCTTTGAACCTTAGTTTGAAGTGGAGATACAACTTTTGTATACCTCGGGGTTATTGGTAGGCTTAAATGAGAATATCTGCAAATTGCTTAGCACAGTTATAGGAACACTATGTTTTACAAATTGTATCTGCTCTACCCTTCTCCACCTTTCTGCCTTCATATTGATGATTGCCAGTGCAGATAGTCTTATCTCCTCAGGTGGATAGGTGCTGTGTGCCTGGACCCTTCTTGGCAGGCCTATATTATTTTTCTTTATATTTCTTGAGCTTCATCCAAACTAAATCATTTGCTTTACACGTCTCTGCAACTGCTCTTTTATTAGGAATGCTCTTATTTCCCACCAGTAACTCCTCATTTTCCTTAAAAAAAAAATAGCTTTAATTTCACTCTGTTTTTTTTTCCATCCTCAAACTGTAAGAAGTTTATCCTTTTCTGAAGTGGGACTTGACATCATTTTTTTCTACCTTGTTAAGTTTATTCATTTCTAACTAGACTTAAATCCTTGAGGACAGGATCATGTCTTATCAGTCTTTGCATCCTCTATGGAAAGTAACAGTCTGAATTCTATGTAATAAACACTTTTTATGTTTTGCTGAGTGAATGAATATATGTCTGTCCTTGGTAATTCACTGACCTGGAATTTCAGTGATAAGATTAGCACAAAAATTATTGTGATGTCTGTTTTACAGTGAAGTTTTGGTTTTTCAGATTGTTTTCTTTGGAGCACTGGAGTATTTGTAGAGGTGGGTTGGGTTTATTTTAATCAAATATACACTAAGAAAGTGCTTTGATATATAAAATGCTACATAGGAGTACAACAGAGAGCAAGAAGATATGCAGTAGAGAGGCTGTGCTTCAACTTCCTGAAATCCAGAGCAACTCCACTTAAATGTTTTCTTCATTTAAAAAACATTTAATGTTTGTATAGGTTTTTTTTACATGCATTTTCAAAGGTACACTACTATATTAGAAATAAGTAATGGGTCAGTTAATAGCTACTTTCTTGAAATATATAATAACATATGTTGTTAGCCATGAAACTTTGTTGTTTGTGATTGTCTGTTGCTATCTAATAAAAAAAATCCTAATGTCTGTATAGTTTTTTTAAAAATGCCAAGCATTGTGATAGGAATGAAACTTTACGCTCTTTAGAATGCATGGCTTCTTTAGGTTAAGAGAGTTTTAAAAATACACTGTAGTTTACTGTATTATGGCATTGGATTTAATAAATGTTATATGTCTGTGGATGCATGCATTTATTATTATATATTTTTTCAGTTTCAGGTGTGTCCCAAAAGTCTGTGTGTGTCTACTCCTGGACATCGGACTGATCTTTTTCAGAGGGATCCTAAAAATGTACTGATAACTGATTTCTTTGGAAGTGTACGGAAAGTGGAAATTACAACAGAGACTATTAATTTGCAACAGGATTCAGAAATCATGGAAAGCAGGTATTCATCTTAAACCATTATTTGAATAGAATACTAGTCTCACAAATTGTTCATTTTATGAAACTATATTAAGAGGCAAAAGTTGGTGTTTGTAAGTAAAATTGCATATTTATACCCAGTCTTCACTTTATGTAGGCTGTATGCTTTTCAGATTTATAGGCAAAAACTACAAATATTCATGGAAACTAAGATCATCATTAGGGTTATGTTGGAGCTCCAAAATACGATCTTGGTAGTAGTTCAATTTGAGACTTGCCTAAAAGGCCTAAAACTTTCCCCATAACTGGCTGTCCCAGAGCCATCATTTTCTGTTAGGCCTCCTGGTAATTCATCAGGGAAAGGAATGAGAAGTGTAAGCCAGGTACTGCCTAGGGGAGTGAATTGTGTGTGAGTGAGTACTGACATTTGTAAGAGAGAAGAAGTTGAAAGACATTAGTTCACTTTGGGTAAGCGGATTTTAGAAATACTTATAATCTATTTTATTTTTTCTGTAATCATTTTTAAAGGTAAACTACTTTATTGGAAATAAATAATGGGTCAGTTAATAGCTACTTTCTTGAAATATAGCGTATGTTGTTAATCATGAAACTCTGTTATTTGTGATTGTCTGTGGGTATCTATTAGAAACTCACACTACAGGGAACTTTTTGGGATTACAAAATGGCAATATGTACAGTTTTTTTTTTTTTTGAGACAGAGTCTCACTCTGTCGCCCAGACTGGAATACAGAGGCACAATCTCTCTTCACTGCAACCTCCACCTCCCTGGTACAAGGGATTCTCCTCCCTCAGCCTACTGAGTAGCTGAGACTACAGGTGCATGCACCACGCCTGGCTAATTCTTTGTAATTTTAGTAGAGACAGGGTTTCATCATGTTAGTCAGTTTTGAAAATTTCAATCTGTAATTGAGCTTGTGAATGTTGTAGGAATAAATTCAAACATTGGCACAAGATGTTTTTTTTTTGATGATTCTAGTTATAACAGTTTCTTATTTTTTTATTGTTATATAATATTTGTATATATTTTGGGGTACATGTGATATTTTGATACCTGTGTACAGTGTTTAATGATCAAATCAGGGTAACTGGGATATCCATCATCTCAAACATTTGTCTTTTCTTTGTATTGGGTTCCTTACTATTTTTTTCTAGATATTTAGAAATACGCTGTAAATTGTTAACAATGATTTCCTTACTGTGCTATCAAATACTAGAACTTATGTCTTTCATCTAAGTGTATTTTTTTTTTGGGTGGGGGAGGAAGGCAGGAAGGGAGGGAAGAAGGACGGTAGGGAGGAAGGAAGGGATGAAGGAAGGAAGGAAGGGAGGAAGCGGGGAGGGAGGGAGGGAGGGAGGGAAGGGAAGGAAGGAAATCAAGCAATGAGAGAGACATTGCCGACTTGGATCTAGAGGTTTACAAGTTGATTTCTTTTTTTTTTTTGAGAGAAGGAAAGAAAAAAAAATAAGTAAAGGAGAGGAAGAAAGAGGAAGAGAAAGAGGGAGAGTAAATGGAAATATTGCTTTATTTTGAAAAAAATTGGGTATTAATAATGGCCAATCAATGTTTCATTTAAACTTATGGGTAGGTGTGATGTGGTATTGACAAGAATGTATATTTTGTGTATTTGAAGTGGAGAGCTCTATAAATATTTATTAAGTTTACTTGTTCCGGATCTGAGTTCGAGTCCTTGATATTCTTATTAATTTTCTGTCTCATTGAATCTAAGACTCGTATCTGGGTGTTAGGATCATTAGCTCTTGTTGTTGCATTGATCCTTTTACCACTATATCTTTGTTGCTTTAAAATCTATTTTATCCGATATGAGAATTGCAACTCCTGCTTTTTATTTATTTATTATTTATTTTTGCTCTCCATTTGGTTGGTAAATCTTTCTCCATCCCTTTGTTTTGAGTCTTTGTGTATCCTTGCATGTGAAACAGGTCTGGATGTAACATGCCATTGGGTTTTGGCTGTGTCTTTTGATTGGGGGATTTAGTCAATTTGTATTTAGGGTTACTGCCATTTGATGTTGACCGGCTGTTTTATCCATTCGTTGGTGTAAATTCTTCTTTCTGTTGGTGCTCTTTACTTTTTGGTGTATTTTTAGAAAGGCTAATACTGGTTGTTTCTTTCTGTGTGTAATGCTTCTTTCAGAAGCTCTTGTAAAGCAGGCCTGGTGGTAATAAAATCTCCGAGTTCTTGCTTGTTCATAAAAGATTTTATTTTTCCTTCAGTTGTGAAGCTTAGTTTGGCTGTATATGAAATTCTGGGCTGAAGGTTCCGTTCTTTGAGGATGTTGAATATTGGCCCCCACTCTCTTCTGGCTTGTAGAGTTTCTGCTGAGAGATCTGCTGTAAGTCTGATAGGCTTGCCTTTGTGGGTAACCTGACCTCTCTCTCTGGCTGCCCTTAGTGTTTTCTCCTTCGTTTCAACCCTGGTGAATCTAACGATTATGTGCCTTGGGGTTGCTCTTCTTGAAGAATATCTTTGTGGTGTTCTCTGTATTACCTGGGGTTGAATGCTGACCTGCTTTGCTAGTTTAGGAAAATTTTCCTGAATAATATCCTGAAGGGTATTTTCCAGCTTGGATTCATTCTCTCCGGCGCATTCAGGTACACCTATCAAACGTAAATTTGGTCTTTTCACATAGTCCCACATTTCTTGGAGACTTTGCTCATTCCTCTTTATCCTTTTTTTTCTAATCTTTTCTTCGCGTTTTATTTCATTAAGTTGGACTTTGACCTCTGATATCCCTTCTTCTGCTTGAACAATTCGAGTGTTTAAACCTGTGCATACTTCTCGGAGTTCCTGTATTGTATTCTTTAGTTCCATTAATTCACTCATACTCCTCTCTAAGTTGTCTATTCTCAATAGGATTTCATCAAACTTTTTTTCAAAGTTCCTAGTTTCTTTACGTTGGGCTACAACATGTTCTTTTAACTCACCGAAGTTTCTTATTATCCATTCCTTGAAGAGTGATTCTGTCATCAGGATGCGCTCGTTCTCCATCACGCCTTGTTCCATTGTTGATGTGGAACTGTGATCATCTTTAGAGGGAGAGGCGTTCTGACTTTGAGTATTCTCAGCTTTTTTACGCTGGTTTCTTCCCGTCATTGTAAATTTATCCTCCTGTTGTCTTTGAATTTACCAACTTTCAGATTAGGTCTCTTGAGTGGACGTCCAGGTTGTTAGTTCCCAGGGCCAGAGCAGAGGCGTTAAAACTGATGGTGCTTTTCTGCCCAGGATTCTCCTGTCTGGCTTCCTTCTTGTGTCCGTAGTAGGCGACTCTGCCTTCCCGGGGCTCCAAACCTTGGTCAGAAGGGGAACCGGTCCTGTTTACTCTGCGCCGAGCGCTGCCTCGCCGAGGTGCCGTCACAGCTGCTGAGCCGGGCTCTGGTGTCCTGCTGGGGACCCGTGCGGGTCCTCCGAACCTGTTTACTCTGCTCCGAGAGCTGCCGCGCGGAGGTGCCGGAGGAACCACTGCGCCGCCACGAGAGTCGCGCTGGCCACCCGTGTGTTTCCTCCACTGGGGGATCTTCTGCTCTGTGAGCAACCAGAATTTGTCTGAAAGTGTGGCGTCCTCTAGTTCTCCGCGCTTTCCCTGAGAGCTACAATCCCGGGATGTTAGCGATCGGCCATCTTGGATCGTTCCCTAAGTGTATTTTTATACTCCTTAACCAACGTCTCTTCGTTCTCCTCCTGAACACTTTTCCTACCCAGCCTCTGGTAATCACCATTCTAATCTCTACCTCATTGACATCCACTCGTTTTGCACTCACATATGAATGAGAACATGTGATGTTTGTCTTTCTGTGCCTGGCATATTTCACTTAACAATAACTTCCAGTTCCATCCATGTTGTTGCAAATAACGAGATTTTATTCTTCTTTATAGCTGAATAACATTTTATTGTGTATATAAGTAATTTTCATTATCCATTCATTTGTTGATGGATACATCTTGATTCTATATCTTGGCTATTGTGAATACTGCTGCAATAAACATGGGAGTGCAGAGAATGCTTCAGTAATACTGATTTTCTTTCTTCTGACTATGTTGCTAGATGTGGGATTGCTGGATCATATGGTAGTTTTATTTTTAATATTTTGAGCAACCTCCATACAGTTTTCTATAATGACTGTACTATTTTGCATTCCCACCAACAGTGTATGAGTGTTTCCTTTCTCCATATTCTTGCCAACATTTGTTATTTTATGGCCTTTTTAATAAGCTAACTGAGGTGACATGATATCTTGTAGTTTGGATTTGCATTTCCTTGATGATTAGTGATTTTGAGCATTTTTTCGTATATCTGTTTTCTTTTGTGAAATGTCTATTTACATCATTGCCCATTTTATAATTAAACTATTTGTTTTTTTTTCCTTTTTGTTATTGTTTCAGATTCCTTATATAGTCTGGTTATTAATTGCTTATCAGATGCATAAATTGCAAATATTTTCTCTCATTCTGTACGTTGTCTCTTTATTTTGAAGATTGTTTCCTTTGCTATGCAGTGCTATGCAGAACCTTTTTAGCTTGATGTAATTTCATTTGTCTATTTTTGCTTTTGTTGCCTATGACTTTAAGGTTTTACCTAAAAAATTTCTGCCCAGAATAATGTCCTGGAATGTTTCCTCAGTATTTTCATTTTTGTAGTGCTTATTTGGGTAGTATGGACATTTTAACAATCTTATTTCTTGCAATCCATGAGCATGGGATGTCTTTCCACTTTTTGTGTCTTCTTTAATTTATATCATTAGCTTTGTATAGTTTTTCCTGTACAGATCTTTCACTTTGGTAAAATTTATTCCTAGGTATTTTTTTCTTTGGTAGGTATTGTAAGTGAGATTGCTTTCTTCATGCCTTTTTCAGATTGATCACTGTTGGATAAAAATGCTACTGATATCCATATGTTGATTTTGTATCCTAAAACTTTACTGAATTTATCAGTTGTAAGAATTTTTTGTTGGACTCTAGGTTTTTTTAAACATAAGATCATG